AAAGAAAAAACACCGTCCCCTTAGCCACCCATTTGGCAACCCGCACTTGGGCGCTGGCATGATGGGCAAGGGTAGTGCCAAGTTTAGTGCAAGGATGGGCATGAAGGGGAGAGTAGTGCCAAGGTGGGTGTCTGGAAGGAGAGAAGTGACAGGTATAGGAAGGGGGGGGCTGGGGTTCAAGAACAGTGCCACGTGAGGCGCAAGAAACTGGTGCCAGGTGCAAGTACAAGAAAGTGTGTGTGTGTGTGTGTGTGTGTGTGTGTGTGTGTGTGGCTTTCTCAACTGTCAATCAACTGTTTTTACTAACTACTTTTTTTTTCTCCACACCACACACACACACCCCAGGAAGCAGCCCGTGACAGCTCACTAACTCCCAGGTACCTATTTACTGCTAGGTAACAGGGGCATTCAGGGTGAAAGAAACTTTGCCCATTTGTTTCTGCCTGTGTGTGTGTGTGTGTGTGTGTGTGTGTGTGTGTGTGTGTGTGTGTGTGAGCGCGCGCAGTGTGTGTTGTGCGCGTCAGACACAAAACACAACACACACACACACAAACATTGCACTATCTCCCCTGGTAAGAGTCTAACCATCACATACAATATTGGGGTTCAGTTGAAGCATCTTCCGTACCAACCCCCCAGTCTGTCTGGCTTCTTTGAGCTCATCTGGCTTTCAAATATCCACCATAGTTACATTTGGCTGTAGTGGATCTAGAGCTCGGACGTGTGAACACACGCTCCTCCCCCCCCCCCCCTTCCTGGTAGTGTACAATGCTTCAGCCACAGTGACCTTGCAAGGAGAATAATGTATAAAGTATCTGCATTGTAATATACAGCAAGAATTGAAATTCACTATATTAATGAGAATCGACAATCGAATTCCCAATCGACTCGAGAATGGTCCAGGACGGACCGAAACGTCGTCGTCCCTTCACCTTCTAGTGTGTGGTCTGGTCAACATATTAAAGAGAACCCAAGATAAAACCAGAATAAAGAAATATTACAAGAAAAAATGTAAATGTAACTATCCATGAGACGTTCCCTTCTCTATTCCCCCCATCCAGCGATGATGCCCATCCCTCTCCCCCATCCTCGAGGCCCTCCCCCTCCCCCGGCTGATACGATATTAGTAGGCCAAAAATAAAACACAAATTCTAAATGGGTAAGTAACCTAGATATTGAAGGTCGATGTTGTCGTCTTCAGTGAGTGGTGTGTAAGGCGAGGTGTAGGCAGCAGTGAGGGACGTGCTAGGGCCCCAAGTCCCACATTCCTCCCCCCCCCCCCCATCCAGGGCCACACCTGATGGCAGGTGTGGCCACAAGTGGCTCCCACCAATTACAGTTCCCACTGCACATGTTTTCAACGTGTGGTTAACGCCAGCTTACGTAATGTGCACGTGTTTGTATATGTCCAAATTTCGTCACAAGAATTTCGTTTACAGCTTCTTTAATGTGTCTCCGTCCTCATATTTAAACACGGTTCTGAAATTGGGTAGCGTAGCGCAGGCTCCTTTCACAGTGGCCTTTATGGGGTCCTGGGGAGACTCCTCGCTGTCCTCAGCCACGCCTACACCTCTCCCTGTCACAGGTTTTTAATATCTTTTCACATTATTTGTAACTTAAGTGTGGCCCCTTCTCCCCTGTTCTGCATCCATTATATGACACTTGTTTACTTGTTAATTCCATCTATAATGTGTTGCTCCACTTACTTATTTTCTCTAGGTCATTTTGGAGGGCACTGCAGTTATTTAAAACCCTGATTCTCCCTAGCCATTTAGCATCACCTGCAAACATTCATGTACATATGTATTCCCATTGGTAGATCACTATAGGTAATGAACATTACCGGTAAAAGAACTGAACCTTGAGGTACTCCACTAGTGACACTTCTCCGGTCAGACACATTGCCTCTCATCACTGCTCTCATATCTTAGACAATTGTTCATGAACATTTAGTAACCTGCCTGTCACCCCTCTAATGTGTATAACTTTCATAAGTGTCTTGTGTGGAACTGTCAAAGGCTTTTTATTAGGTGCGTATATATACCTGGTGCTCAATACCTGCTTGATGGGGTTCTGGGAGTTCTGCTCTTGACCTAAACTGTCTGGCCGTCATGTCGATCTTTCCAGATACTCTATCCATATGTTTATAATTATTTTACTGTTGCCTTTACTCCCCCGCTTATCAGTGATACCGTTTAGAGGTCTTCCATGCTCTCATTTGTATAAACCCGAACAGACTTATTTTTCACACGTCAGCCAGTCTCTCCTTTCACAAGGACGATAGGGAGATAAGCTGTTGTGGGGCGCTACTCTCTTAAGACACATTCCTTCAGTACCCAAGGTACTGAAGGAATGGGTACTGGCTCCCTGAACAGTACTCATCTAGTTGTATTCATCTAGTTGTGCTTGCGGGGGTGGAGCTCTGGCTCTTTGGTCCCGCCTCTCAACCGTCAACTGGTGTACAGGTTCCTGAGCCTACTGGGCTCTATCATATCTACACTTGAAACTGTGTATGGAGTCAGCCTCCACCACATCACTGCCTAATGCATTCCATTTGTTAACTACTATGACACTGAAAAAGTTATTTTTAATATCTGTATGACTGGGTACTCGGCTCCCTCTCTGGGTACTCACGTTCCACCTGCATCCCCTTGTGCGTGTGCCCCGTGTTAAATAAATTGTCTTTATCTATCTATCCTATATTGTCTTAATTGTCTTTATCTAGCACTCGGAGCACTTGTCACCGCCCACGAAGCACCTGTCACCACCCACGAAGCACCTGTCACCGCCCACGAAGCACCTGTCACCGCCCACGAAGCACCTGTCACCGCCCACGAAGCACCTGTCACCGCCCGCCCACGAAGCACCTGTCACCGCCCACGAAGCACCTGTCACCGCCCACGAAGCACCTGTCACCGCCCACGAAGCACCTGTCACCGCCCACAAAGCACCTGTCACCGCCCACGAAGCACCTGTCACCGCCCACGAAGCACCTGTCACCGCCCACAAAGCACTTGTCACCGCCCACAAAGCACTTGTCACCGCCCACAAAGCACTTGTCACCGCCCACAAAGCACTTGTCACCGCCCACAAAGCACTTGTCACCGCCCACAAAGCACTTGTCACCGCCCACAAAGCACTTGTCACCGCCCACAAAGCACTTGTCACCGCCCACGCCCACAAAGCACTTGTCACCGCCCACAAAGCACTTGTCACCGCCCACAAAGCACTTGTCACCGCCCACAAAGCACTTGTCACCGCCCACAAAGCACTTGTCACCGCCCACAAAGCACTTGTCACCGCCCACAAAGCACTTGTCACCGCCCACAAAGCACTTGTCACCGCCCACAAAGCACTTGTCACCGCCCACAAAGCACTTGTCACCGCCCACAAAGCACTTGTCACCGCCCACAAAGCACTTGTCACCGCCCACAAAGCACTTGTCACCGCCCACAAGCACTTGTCACCGCCCACAAAGCACTTGTCACCGCCCACAAAGCACTTGTCACCGCCCACAAAGCACTTGTCACCGCCCACAAAGCACTTGTCACCGCCCACAAAGCACTTGTCACCGCCCACAAAGCACTTGTCACCGCCCACAAAGCACTTGTCACCGCCCACAAAGCACTTGTCACCGCCCACAAAGCACTTGTCACCGCCCACGAAGCACTTGTCACCGCCCACAAAGCACTTGTCACCGCCCACAAAGCACTTGTCACCGCCCACAAAGCACTTGTCACCGCCCACAAAGCACTTATGAGTCTCGTGCTGCTTCTGGTCATAAATAACAATGCAGCAATTTTCGAGAAGGTTGAAACTTGGTAACATCTTACTGGAGGAGTCCAGGCTCCATTATGGGTGTGTACCAGGATATGAATGAGAGAGAGAGAGAGAGAGAGAGAGAGAGAGAGAGAGAGAGAGAGAGAGAGAGAGAGAGGATGGACTAAGAACCCGGCTACACAGGCAGCATAACCTGCCACAAACATTAGTATCATAATTGCACGCTTTTAGCAGGAGGCGAGCGAGCACCTGACTGCAGGGCAGGCAGTGATGAGGGAGAGGGGAGGAAGAGGCAGGGGGAATGATAGGGGAGTGATAGGGGGGAAGAGGGGAGATGAAAAGACACTGGGCTACTCTACCAACCCCGACGATAGTGATGGCGGGTCAGGCTGGTCTTCCACCACGCGGGATGGTCGGTGGAGCAAGTAACTTGTTTATGGTCTCGGGTTTAAGACAAGCAGGTGGAGGAGGAGGAGGAGATGACACAAGGTACACAGGTGACTCACTCCCTCCCCGGTAGTATTACGCCAACACCTTCCCTGGCAACCCCACCCCCCACCCCCCCATTACGACACAGACACCTGACCCCCCCCCCCATTACGACACACACACACACACACCTGCCCCTCCCCTCCCCAACATCATGGGGAATACATCACGTATGCGGTTGACCTCACTCAAATACTCTGCTATTCAAGACAATCAAAGACGTTACTGGCCAACAAAAGAATGCTCAAGTTTAATTCATAACTCTCAAAAGCAATAGAAAATAAGCATCAACAAAAGTTCAATATAATACCCATTACCCTTGCCAACCACCCAATCCCACACGCGGACCTTGGCAGACAACCGACACTCAAGAATAGAACAGGAGTCAAGCTTCACTTAAATGACAGAATAAACAAAGCAAAAACAGCCTCAAGCAAACAGAGAAGCTTCAGTAACGCTGACACGAACACCTAGCACAACTAGGTGAGTACACAGCCACACTTATACCCCTTGATTGACGGTTGAGAGGCGGGACCAAAGAGGCAAAGCTCAACCCCCCCCGCAAGCACAACTAAGCGAATACAAGGCTGTGGTCCGGCCGCCCCTCCACTACATACTCTACACACAACCAACAGGCAAACATTACAAACAATTCAAAACAAGGCTCTAAGAGCAGCAAAACTGTGTCCAACATACAACCAAAACATTCAATCACTCAGAGGAGGGTGTGGAGGGGTGGAGGGTGTGGAGGGGGGGCGGAGGGAGGTGGAGGGAGGTGGAGGGGTTGGAGGGGGGTGGAGGGGGTGGATGGGTGGAGGGAACGAGAGGGTTAGTCCGGGAAGGGTGGTGAAGGTGTGTCTCGAGTTCTGCGCAGTTACGGAATTCCACGTTTTCCTATTTGATGTGTTTCTGCTTGTTTCTGCGTTTGTGTGTGTGTGTGTGTGTGTGTGTGTGTGTGTGTGTGTGTGTGTGTGTGTGTGTGTGTGTGTGTGTGTGTGTGTGTGTGTGTGTGTGTGTGTAGTTTCACTTCACCTATCATCATTCCACATATATATTAGCTCTGGTACCTGTCTTGCGGCAAATAATTAAACCGTGTGAATTTTGACCTTGTGGTTTACCATATATGGTTGTCCTCTTAGACCTGAATGCTCTAGGTCTGGTCTAGCATGCGCCGTGTATATATAATACTGTGAAGGATTCCTTCACTAAGTTCTTGAAAGCCAACATTATGTGTGCCGGTCATGCATTTGGAACCGATGTTAATCTGTTAATGTGTGCCTCTGCCACCTGTTCCCGGGGAGGAGGGACCCTGGAGCCAATCACTTCAAAACCACTATGTAATTAGTGTTATTAGCAAATCCCTACCCATGGTTTCGTTAGGTTAAGGTTATGTTTCGTAACATTAATACGATATATTAGTCTCAAACACGATGTATGAGATCCGAAAAATATTTGGGTATCCCCTAGAATTTAATTTACATACAAATCAAATTCTTCAGACCGTTTCAAAGAAAACGAATTAAGCAGAGTCTTTTTATATTTTAAACTAATGATTTATAATACAATAAAGTTATAACTTGATCATATTATCTTAGGGCAAAGGTTCACTTGCCAGTTTACAAGCAGACTATTAATGAAGCCATAATATGCTTTCAGACCATTAGAAATATCTACATAACTATCCAGTTGGTGTGAGAATGGGTTTGGTGTCTTGTGGTAATCACTTTACCCTGAAGACGGGCTCGCCTCGTGTTACATCCGGTCTTAGGTCCTTGTGGCTTCCCTGGAAACACAAACCGTAACTCTGTCTATTTTCAGCTTGTTACAACTAGTAATAAATTTGTTACATCTTGGCTTAACGTGTTTATGACGTATTAGAACGTTGTTACAACTTGCTATATTGGTTGTTAGAACGGGTTAGGAAGTGTTAAAACTTGTTCGAACGTTGTACCAACGTCGTAGTTTCGGTGTGTGTTTGGCGGGTTTTTGACTCGTGCAGTTGCCGCCTCCTTCCAAGCCTGCACCGTGGTGTTTGGTCTCCTTTTCTACTCCCAAGCCTGATTACATTTTAATTTGGGTGAATAAACTGCAGTAGTCACTTGTTCGCCAATGCAGTCTCCGTGGTGTAGTGGTAAGACACTCGCCTGGCGTTCCGCGAGCGCTATGTCATGGGTTCGTATCCTGGCCGGGGAGGATTTACTGGGCGCAATTCCTTAACTGTAGCCTCTGTTTAACGCAACAGTAAAATGTGTACTTGGATGAAAAAACGATTCTTCGCGGCAGGGGATCGTATTCCAGAGACCTGCCCGAAACGCTACGCGTACTAGTGGCTGTACAAGAATGTAACAACTCTTGTATATATCTCAAAAAAAAAAAAATACCTTCAGCCTGTCTAAGCTCTCTTACACAGGCTGAAGGGTCATTTGTTCGCATTATGCAGTCCTTGTCAGTTTGTACCTTCTGCAAAAATTAAACACACGATTTAACCTTTTCCTGAAGGTTACCGACATAAATCATGCACCTCTTGAAGGTTATTTACATAAATCATGCACCGCTTGAAGGTTATTTACATAAATCATGCACCTCTTGAAGGTTATTTACATAAATCATGCACCGCTTGAAGGTTATTTACATAAATCATGCACCTCTTGAAGGTTATTTACATAAATCATGTACCTCTTGAAGGTTATTTACATAAATCATGCACCTCTTGAAGGTTATTTACATAAATCATGCACCTCTTGAAGGTTATTTACATAAATCATGCACCGCTTGAAGGTTATTTACATAAATCATGCACCTCTTTAAGGTTATTTACATAAATCATGCACCTCTTTAAGGTTATTTACATAAATCATGCACCTCTTTAAGGTTATTTACATAAATCATGCACCTCTTGAAGGTTATTTACATAAATCATGCACCGCTTGAAGGTTATTTACATAAATCATGCACCGCTTGAAGGTTATTTACATAAATCATGCACCTCTTGAAGGTTATTTACATAAATCATGCACCTCTTGAAGGTTATTTACATAAATCATGCACCGCTTGAAGGTTATTTACATAAATCATGCACCTCTTTAAGGTTATTTACATAAATCATGCACCTCTTGAAGGTTATTTACATAAATCATGTACCGCTTGAAGGTTATTTACATAAATCATGCACCATTTGAAGGTTATTTACATAAATCATGCACCTCTTGAAGGTTATTTACATAAATCATGCACCTCTTGAAGGTTATTTACATAAATCATGCACCTCTTGAAGGTTATTTACATAAATCATGCACCGCTTGAAGGTTATTTACATAAATCATGCACCTCTTTAAGGTTATTTACATAAATCATGCACCTCTTGAAGGTTATTTACATAAATCATGTACCGCTTGAAGGTTATTTACATAAATCATGCACCATTTGAAGGTTATTTACATAAATCATGCACCGCTTGAAGGTTATTTACATAAACCATGACCATTGGTGGTCTATGTAGGATATGGGGCTCTATGGGGCGTACAGAGCCCCACTTGCTACCTCTCCACATCCTAAACCTTCCTCGCTCAATACAACTGCTATAATTGTTGAATACTTTCTAATACGATTCATTACCTTCCCATCCTAATACATTACCTTCCCATCCTGATACATTACCTTCCCATCCTGATACATTACCTTCCCATCCTGATATTCCAACCTGTGCATCGACCTTTTTTGTGGCCAGTGTTTTTTTATGGACTTCAATGTACTTGTAGCGGGCGATCTTTAGCTGCTGGGCCCCACCTCGCCACCAGTGGGTTGTCTAATGCTGTGTTTATCGCCCCTCTTTATTGTCATATCTAATTTTGAAGCAATTTATTGTTGTATTCGCTTTTGCTTTCTCTCCCTCTACTCCACTTTACTTGTTCACTACCTTAAAGCTGCGTTGTTATTCCTTCTTTCTTATCTTGTCGTATTGTTCTGCCTCCCCTCTCTTGTTGCGTTATCCTGCCTCCCCTCTCTTGTGTTATCCTGCCTCCCCTCTCTTGTTGTTATCCTGCCTCCCCTCTCACTGTGTTATCCTGCCTCCCCTCTCACTGTGTTATCCTGCCTCCCCTCTCTTGTTGTGTTATCCTGCCTCCCCTCTCTTGTTGCGTTATCCTGCCTCCCCTCTCACTGTGTCATCCTGCCTCCCCTCTCACTGTGTCATCCTGCCTCCCCTCTCACTGTGTCATCCTGCCTCCCCTCTCACTGTGTCATCCTGCCTCCCCTCTCACTGTGTCATCCTGCCTCCCCTCTCACTGTGTCATCCTGCCTCCCCTCTCACTGTGTCATCCTGCCTCCCCTCTCACTGTGTCATCCTGCCTCCCCTCTCACTGTGTCATCCTGCCTCCCCTCTCACTGTGTCATCCTGCCTCCCCTCTCACTGTGTCATCCTGCCTCCCCTCTCACTGTGTCATCCTGCCTCCCCTCTCACTGTGTCATCCTGCCTCCCCTCTCACTGTGTCA